GCCTTTTTTTCAGAGGTCAACCATATAAATGTAAATGAAAATTAGCTTATTACACATACAATTTTTGTTATGCCAATACAGTGTTGTTAATGCTGTCTCTGGTCAATATACAATTTTGTGAACCAAATACAGATTTAAGACATCAACTAAGCATGTAATTTGAAGGATATTTGAAGGATTTTTGTATTTTAATGTTTAGACTGTCTAAAAACTGTCCTCTCCCCACTGTACAATAAACAAAATGGTTTTTTTTTTATTGGTACAAGTACCCAAGGCCATTGCCTAGTTCCTCATTCTCTTTGCTTGATAATCCCTTGACTATCAGCCCATTTTTAAGATCCACAATTGTCTTCAGTGGAGTTCAGATTTGAGATCCAGGCTTCAGTAATGTTTGATGAACCTGCTTTGAACCAATTCCTAATAAATTTGCTTCATCCCTATACAGAAATTTCTAGCTAACAAAGATAAGGGAGGAACCATGTGGTATTTAATCTATTGTATGGATTAGCCCTTTTACTTCTACCTCAGTATGTTTTACAGTAGTGGCAGTGGGGAGTTTTACATACACTCCCATCATTTTCTGTGACTCCTGGAGTATGATGTGTCACTGGGTAGAGGGGAGGGAGAGCAGTGAACATCTGTTTGATGATCTCCTCTAGCTAGAATGAACTCAGAAGCATTGTGAAAAACATCACTTCCACTTTCTTATGTCACTTTCCCCAGTCCTTCTGGACTTAGAAGAAGCTAATGGAGCATGATTTGCACTCCATTAGCTTCAATGGAAGGTAGATGATACATCAAAGAAAAAAAGGTAGAAAAAGGTTACACCCAAGCATCTACATATGAAAACGTCATTTGCTATAAAAATGTTACATATCATCGCACACACCAGAATGAGTGCAATCATTTTGGGTCCATTATTCATGACAAACTCGGATTACCCGTAAGGGCTGTGTAGGTGTTGCCTATGGAAAATATAAGGTACCAAAGTTGGCCATTGTTTGCAGGCGCTCAAATTTAAATTTGACTTGTTCAGCATTAATTTACTCTGCACAATCTCATCTTTTTTCAATAATAAAAAATGGATAATATATTGCGTTTTTGTGCCCTAAGTTAGCGTTAGTGTATTTTTTTACTGATATTTTGCATTTGGTAAAACATTGTGCAAATATCATGTGACTGGAACTACTAGTATTTTATTCTCCTTTGAAAAAATATATAATGTTTGGGGTCTTAACTAATCTTCAAGCCTCAAATGATATTTTTAATTGTGTGCAAAAATTGCAAAAATGGATCTGGCTGCAAAAGCTTTGAGCCCCACGATCTTCTTTCACTTTTAACACCCAATCAAGTTTAGATTTTAGCATCTGCAAAAGTCAGGCTTAAGGGCTAAGTTCACCTTTTGGGGGAAAAAATATAATAAATGCACATATTTTTGCAGAGAAGAAAAATGTGAATTTATTATTTTTTTCCTCAGGAACCTGCAAAGCATTGCATCCCCGATCAATGGATCAAGGGTGCAATGTCAGGCTCCTGCAGACAAGCCCTGCAGATTTCTGTTTACAAGCTGCAGGATTTGTGAATAAAGTGCAAGAGCACTCATCAGTGCCCTTGTAGTTCATTGAGAACTATAAGCTATCAGCCACAATGGCTGATAAGTGTTCTCTCATTCACAGATTGCTGAGAAGGAATGATGCAGCTGTGTGGGCACAGTCCTGCTATTTCCAAAAAGTGACAGCGAGTGTGCGGAGAAGATCCCCCACCTGCTGTCATGGGGGTAGGTGGGAATCGGGATGCAGGTCTGGAGCATGTTGTATGTTATACCCGAATTTTGGGTTTAACATGTAACATGCTCTGAAAGGTGAACTCATCCTTTAAAATAATTAAACTACAATTGTGGTTACCAAGGAATGTTGGACATTTACATTTCAGTTGTCTTTTTCTAGGAAGAACATGCATATATTTGCATAACAAACTGAGAGAATGAAATATTTAATACATAAGCATTGCTATTAATATATACAGAATTCATATCTACAATTAGATCAGAATATAATTATTTTTCGCTATATATCTCCATATTCTGCAATCACATTCCAACTTTAACTAAAGAAAAATTTCATATAAAATATTTAAACATTTCAAACATATCTGTGGAACAAAAACACTGCTGAATTAGATGTTATAATAGCATTGCATTTCTCCTATTCCTCTGGTCTGTGCATAAACTGTTGCTAGTACTGTTATTCCGGATATAGAAATAATAAGCTCATGTCAAAGAAATCTGGAAATCTATATGCATGTTTACAGTGCTTTGTAGATGACTGATTGTATATAGATTACCATAAATGTATTAAAAGAAAGCAATAGCTCTTGCACACTCTTGTTTATAAGAACTCCATATTTACATGTATTGGTGGTCAAATACCTCTACACAGAAGATGCAACCAACTGATTCAAATAACAACAATTCACCTAAAGGTTATATTTTAACAAAAAAAAAAGGTCTAATAGCAGTTCTGTAAATATTGTCGTATTCCATGTCAGTCACCGTTGTCAGTGCAGAGGTAGGCATGAAGCATTGGTTTGCAATAAAGTTTTCTCTTCTAAAGACATTAGTGCCTGAGTGGATGTCTGTGAATTGGAAGGTTAACGAAAAACTTTTGCATGCAAATAGCTTGTTTGTAATGTCCAAAGGAACCTTTAGAATTACATGTAGAATTTCCCATTTTCCAGCCTCAAGAATATGTCTCATTGTGCTGGCTATGATGATTAGAAATGAGCAACCTGGGCAAAGCTTGGTTTGCAGGAGATTTGGCAAACCCAACAAAAAGTCCACTAAACCCAAACATAGCATCAAACCCCATTGAAACCTATGGAAGCTGAATCTGAATTTTGCCAAGACAAAATGAAAGCTTTTGTTAAAAAAGAACATGGGTAACTGATCACCATCATGGGGGACGTGTACCAAAAAATTAAAATAAAACAATATGATTCAGTGGGGAGAGGGTATTTTAATGCAGCTTAAGGGCTAACAATAAAACACTCAATTCCTTTAAATAACATGCTTTGGAGATGCTTTAAACCTGCATGTTACATTTTGTGTATACAAGCAGTGGCTGGGGATCTATAATTTAGCAGTGGTATCACTACCACCTCTAAATGACACATTCCTCTGGCTTCTGTTTATAAACAGGCTAGTTAAGATCCTTGGCAACATCATTGACCAGATATATGTGTTTACATTTCAGCAATACCAGGGAGATGTTACTGGCAACAGAAGCAGTTGCAGGGATGCATCATCAGGCTATGCTCATCATTTCTAACAAAGATCTACATCTCAAGTGGCATTGTTTATTTATTTAATTATTTTATTTAATAAAGAACTGGTGGTGTTGTTGTTTTTTTACATTTGCTATTTTGTTAGTGAATAAGTAACAAGAAGTACTATGTACCTAGCACTCATTCACATGAGGGTGGCTGGATATCTGGAAGCACCCTTATTCTAATTGGTTTCTACATTCCAATATCTCCCACCAACAGACCCTCACATCCCTTTTCTTTTTTTTTGGGGGGGGGGGGAATTTGAAGATGTGTCTTTTGGCACCATCAAAATGGGTACAAGATGCCTTCCAAGGGGGGGAGCTTTACCCCCCACCACTTTTTCTTATGTTTCCAATGTTGAGGGCAGGGCATGCAACCTAGTATGTTTAAATGGGACACTTCTCCCACCCCTCCCCTATTTTTTGTACAGCAAGGCTGCATACCTAGATAGGGCCTTTAATTTATTTTATTAATTTTTAAGGGGACTACAAGTGACTTTTTTTTGTGCTGACCCTTTAAGTGAAAAAATGGCTTGTGGTCCCACATTCTAGCAGAGGTCTGATATGTAAATGTTTGGTGTAAGAATATGATGAGTTTGGAGCATTTTGATTCTTGAGAGCACTGAGAGCAAAAATTGAGAAAATGCAGTATAAATCTAGTGTGGCACCTCCTTGGGAAAATATATTAGGGTCGCCTAGCAGAGCACAGGCAAAACATAGTAATTAATTAAAAAGTAATAGCAAAGTAAAATGCTGAAGAATAGCTCAGTGTTCAGTGGCAGCCACAACTTACAGCCACCATATTTCATCATATTGCTTCAGAACAACATTCTCTTCATCATCAAAGTAAAGTAAGTTGATTGAATTAAGGCGATCAGGAACACAACATGGTGTTCCAATGTCTTGGTTGAGTTTGAGAGCATGAACAATGGACTGTACAGTAGCATGATTTGTAGCACCCAAACCTTGTCCCATAGGGAATAGACATGTTCCCTTGCAGTGGTAGGCATTGTATCCCTTCGGGGAGATGATCCATCCAGCCCAACCAATGTCTTCAAAGTCCACATAGAGAGGCTTGCGTTCGCATGGAGGATATCTGTTGGGATATACATTTCGTGTTTTTCTACTTCTGCTATGGTCCATTAATAATGGGAACTTATGTGTTGCTGGATGTATTGTAGAAGAAACTTCAGGCGCAAGAGTATCTAAAAAGATTGTACATCGTATATTTAGTTTTTTGTTTTTAGGACACATGTGCTTTGAACTTTCATGATGTATAAAACTCCTCACAGTAGAGCCACAGACTTTTAGTGATGACAGAGTCTAATAGAAATTCAAATCTAAGAAACCAGTTCCTTTGAAATTCACCTTTAATAGAGATATTTAAAGTGTAACATTAAATAAAACAAACTAAGTACATTCCTATGGTACATGTATAATTGCTCATACATGGTCTCTTTAACCACTTGCCTACCGGGCACTTATACCCCCTTCTTTACCAGGCCAATTTTCAACTTTCAGTGCTGTCGCACTTTGATTGACAATTGCGCGGTCATGCAAGATTGTACCCATATGATATTTGTATCATTTTTTCTCACAAATAGAGCTTTCTTTTGGTGGTATTTAATCTCTTACTTTTTTTACTTTTTGCGCTATAAACAAAAAAAGTGCAAAAAATTTGAAAAAAGTTTCTTTGTTTCTATTATAAAATTTTTCAAACAGGTAATTTTTCTCCTTCACTGATGTGCATTGATGAAGCAGCACTGATGGGCACTGATAGGCAGCACTGATGGGCACTGATAGGCAGCACAGAAGGGCACGGATAGGCAGCACTAATGAGGTGGCACAGATAGGCGGCACTGATAGGTGGCACTGATAGTTGGCACTAACTGGCATCACTGCTGGGCACTGACTGGCGGCACTGCTGGGCATTGACTGGCGCAACTGCTGGGCATTGACTGGCGCAACTGCTGGGCATTGACTGGCAGCACTGCTGGGCTGTACTGATGGGCACTGGTGGGTGGCACTGGTGGGCACAGGTTGGTGGCACTGATGGTAACAGGTTGGTGACACTGGTGGTCACAGGTGGGTGGCACTGCTGAGTGGCACAGGTGTGTGGCACTGCTGGGCACAGGTGGGTGCACTGCTGGGCGGAACTGGTGGGTGGCACTGCTGGGCACCGATCATCAGAGCACTGATCATCAGTGCCCTGATGATCAGTGCCAATCCTTGCTCTGACAACTGCCGTTCTTAGCAGTACTTTCCTCATGCTCTGACAACGTGAGGAAAGTGCAGCCGAGAACCGGCAATTGCATTTCCCAGTGATCAGCGTGTCATTGGACACGGCTGATCACGTGGTGAAAGGCCGCTGTGATTGGCCTTTTACCACATCACGTGATCAGCTGTGTCCGTAGGACACAGTGATCACGGAGATCGCCGGGTGCGTGCCCCCGCGGGGCGCGCGGGAGAGCGCGTTTTGGGAGGATGCCATATGACGCCGGCTATCTGCCACTGCGGCCGGCTATCTGCGGTTGGCAAGTAGTTAAAAACACTACAAGTATATAAAATATTTGTTAATCCTGGCAGAATTTCAACAAGCTCCTGACATCCTGTAGAGAACTGACAAATATCAGGCAACATTATCTCTCCAATCACAGGACACCTTCCCGAATGTTATAGAGTTGAAGAGGCACTTTGTGCCTTAAGGTGACAATGCTGTTCCTTCATTGATAAAGCGGTTACCTTAAGACAGGGAGTGCATTACTTGCATGATTACCAAGTAAAAATACAAGGGAAAAACTGTGAAAAAAAGAAAATGACTGCAGCCACCACATCTAAAGACTAGCAATCTGCAATATATTACATTTTTGTGGTTTGGTTTAGATAAACTTTAAGAATACCAAGCAGTAGCAGGATATCTGACTAGTTTAATTTGAGCACCATACTTCCGCAGAAATATAAGGCTATCTTTCCCCTTCACCTTGTGATAGCCAGAACATTGATGATAAATGCACATCTCTTTTTTCCTCTGTAGACTTTACTGTACTCTACATATTGTATAATAATTCAGAGATTCCCTAGTTAATCAGTCAGCCTCCAGCACAGAAAGTTAGGGGGAGTCTTCCAAGCACCAAAAAGACAACCATAAAAACTTGACTGCTGATCTAACTTTTTCCAGCCTCATCCAAAACAACAATAAAAAAAGAATGTATAAAGCTAATTGATTGTAAAGTTGTTTCTGAATTAATAATTTGTGTTCATAAAAGTAATACTGTAACATACCTGTGTCTTTTACAGTAAAAGTTGTGTATGTGTTTGTTGTGCTCTTCTGCCATCATCACTAAAAAGGACCAAATAGGATTTCTTGCTGTCTGACTTGTGCTTTGCAAAAGCAAAGGAGTCAGTTTCTAGGAAGTTTCCTGAGGGTGGGGTAAAGATAATAAGGAAACCATGATTGGTACTGCCATCTCCAACCCACCTTGAAACCTAAAAGAAAAAAAGAAAATTTAACAGGATCAATGAAAAATACATTGTCTTATATTACAGTAAGACACAGATTTTTTTTTTTTTTTTTAAATGAAGGATTAGTGCCACTGATTAATTTACTTATGTGGCATCCATTACTCAGCAGAAGTCACTTTATTTGGATAGATGTTTAACCATTTGCCCTCCAGAGGATTTACTTTCCCCTTCCTGACCAGGCCATTTTTTGAGATACACGCTGTGTTACTTTAGCTGACAATTGCGTGGTCATGCAACGCTCTACATAAATGTAATTTAAGTCCTTTTTTTCTATAAATAGAGATTTCTTTTGGTGGTACTTGATCACCTGTGCATTATTTGCGCTATTAACAAAAAAAGATGGACAATTTTGAAAAATAAAGCAATATTTTTTACTTTTTGCTGTAAAACATATCCAATAAAAAAATGTTAAAAATCACATTTCTTCATAAATGTAGGTCAAAATGTATTCTGCTACAACTCTTTCCTAAAAGAAAATCCCAATATATATAAATTAATTGGTTCACGTGAAAGTTATAGTGTCTACAAATGGCGAAAGTTATAGTGTCTACAAATGGCGAGCATTCTGACAGTGGGTGGGAACTGACTAACTGCCACTGACATCCCAGTGACACTAATACAGTGATCAGTGCTAATAAAAAGCACCGACACTGTACTAATGATACTGGGCAGGAAGGGGTTAACATCTGGGGCGATCAAAGGGTTAGCAGTGTGCTGTTTTACATGATGTGCTGTGTGTGTTTTACTAGGCAGACATGCTGTGCAGAGAAATACAAAGCAGCATGTCCTTGCTGGCAGGAGAGAGACCTGTGTTGTTTACACACAGGTCTCTCCCCTGTCAGTTCTACACGGTGATCAACGGATTGTGGTGGGGAATCTTTGGCCAGGACCCAATGATTGACATCTCTAGCCACCAATGGCGGTGCGGGTAGGACAGTGCACGCACGCAACCCCTACCCGGAAATGCAAATCACATATACATACTGTACATGATTTTGTGCAGCCCTACCGCCCTGTATCAGTAGTTTTACTATAGGGCGGCAGGAAAGCGGTTTCTTACTAAATATTTGTAGACATCCCTTTTCAAATGTAATGTAAATAACCACTGATAAATTAGAATACAAATACTTATGAACCGAAATAATAGCTTTGAGCACATGGCTAATAACTTACAGTTTATAAGAGTATTTTTTTTTTTTTCATTTTTCTTGTTAAGGATATACAGCTATACACACTGATAAATAAAATAAGGTGAAGTGACCCCCCGCAAGGTCCAATATTTGAATTGAATTGCATATACCCTGTAAATAGTAACAGTTTGATTTAATTTAAAATATTGCAATTCAATAAAATTCTGCTTATAAAAATATGTTACTCTTTTTACTGCTTATTAATGTTTTCTTCTTAGGAAAATTTACAATATATTTAAATTTTTTGCATTTATTGTGTTTAGGGCTTACAGATTTTAACCTTTTTTTCTGTTTGTCAGGTAAATATGAAATATTGCATAATAATATATCATATTTACATTTCCAGCCAACTTAACTACCCACTACCTTCAGTTAAAGGATTCATTCAACTTTGGGAACATGTTACATGTTCCAACCATTTTTTAGATTCTGAATTCAGATTAGCAAAGTAGATATAATAATTGCAAACAGCTATTACTACATAATGCTCTAATGGCATGCTCATGGCTTCATAGAAATTTAAAAAAGTGACCTAAAACCATTGGTAAAAAAACAAAGCCAATAACAGAAAAAGCATTCAGTAAGAGTAAAAGATCTTTTGTAATTCTATGCACATGGTTTATTGAAGGTTCGGCTTTGGTAAACATTTTAGCTGTTTGCAATATATTGATATTAATGAATATTACTTACTGTCTGAGTGACATTAAACACCTCCCAACCTTGTGAATGCAGGGGAAGCAGTCGAGACAAAATCAGGTTTCCTCTCCAGGGTCTTGATGAACTGTCTAACAGCTCATACACATCCACCTAGAACATATGAAATGAGCATGAAATGGCTGCTAGGGTTAAACAATACATTAAAATTGATTAGCACATTTAGAATGCTGTTTGTAGACTTTTGCCACTAGATGGCTGGAAAGATGCTTTGAAAATGCAGTTTTATTTCCAAAGGGTGGGGTTCTTCTACCTAAGAAAATGTAACATTGCGGAAGGAGACTTGATGTATTTTTTTACAGGACTGGATATTGATTTTAATAGTATTGATAAAATTGTGTTTAGTCGAGTCCTATTCAATGTAGATTGTAAACATTCTTGTTTTTTCTCTATTTTAAGACATGAAAAAAACAGCATGATATCTTCACCAGAGAGGACAATATAAAGCTGTTCTGCAATCTGTTACTTGACACCTAGTAGTTTTCCTGCACATGCAAATAATAACATAGATTATCATATATCATAATATGTTATTATGATATATCATAAAATGTTATTACAGGATCAGGGACTTCTCAGACTTCTGCATTCCACTGCTGATTAAAACATGCTGCTTGCAACACTTGCAAATGAAACTGAAGATAGTACAAGCATTCTACAAATGAAAATGTACATGAACGCTGTTTGGCTGCTGTAACTCATGGGGGTTGATTTACTAAAGATGAATAGGCTATTCACCTTGCAAAGAAGTTGTACTGTTCAAGGAAACTTTCTCCAGAGCTTAGTAAATGCAATGCAATTTCACTTTGCAGAGTACCCAATCATGCGGTAGGAAATGAAAACAGCATTTTTGATTGGATGGTGGAAGTTAGCAAAGCTTCACCTGATTCACTTAGCACTGGGGATAATTCCCTTGCAAAGTTCAACTTCCCTTGTAAAGTGAAGTCTTTTTGCCTTTGGTAAATTAACCCCTCGATGTAAAAAAAACCACTGGAATCAGTTGTAACCTACAAAGTACACAGAAAACGTCTGAAATTTTATGCAGTTTCCAGAACAGAAGTGTACACAGTTTGTAACTGCTAAGGTAGCAATGGGAAAATTACTAAAATATGAACTATGAATAAATATAATAGACAGAAAAGAAAGAAAGGTACAGGATAGAAAAACTAGATCTTTGATATAAAGATAGATTGAGATATGAAGTGGGCACAGGAAATAATATTTATAATAATTACTATTGACCTGCCACCCATAAAGTAGAACATTTGTCTTTTTTTAGTTTTGGACAGAGTAGAAAAGATTTGGAACTTGTGTTATTATTGCTGTGTGTCCCCAAGTTGGAATTTCCTTTACTCTCTGTCCCAAAGACATGATGAAAGGTAAACGAAAATCACACCAAAGTGAGAGGAAACATTATTGTTGTGTTATTACTACCGCAACAAATATAGGGAGATGTCTCAAACATAGATACAAACATATGGAGGACACCACAACCTAGAAACTCAGTCCTTGTTTCAAGATTATAATTGTATGATGGATTAGTTTCAATATGAAGTAAACCTTCATTTTATTCATTTGGCAAAGCTTTTTTATCATGTTATATCTTGTTATTTAGATATATTAATAAATAATTTTAGCATTTTTCTAGAATTAAATTTATACTGGAATTATTTACAGGTGGCATGTACACTTGTTTATAAGTACAGAAAAGCACTATGAGGTTTGAGTACAGGGTGGTTGTTTGAATTTAGACAGT